TGGGGAATTCTGGGAGTTGAAGTCCACACATCTTAATGTTGCCAAGTTTGAAAAACACTGCCCCAGGCTGCCAATTTGGATCTAACGTCAAGCAACCTGGTGAGGCAGAAGAAGGTACGCTGACCAGCCCTGGACTGTATTGAACTTTCCTTCCCCCTTTCTCTTTTTCTATACTAATGATTGACCCCTTTATCTTTCTAGGTAGCCATGGATTTCATATCTCACTGGTTCTTCTTTCTCCAGGCCTGCCTGAACAAGAAGGAAGAGGACCATGGGCTAACCCCCTTCTCCGGCCAGGCGGCTCTCTCCCAGCATGAGCAACCAAACGGGGATCTACACTGCTGCTTGTTTTGTATAGGGAGAGACCCTGTGGATTTTGTACATATCATTTTCTGCCTAGACCACACTATAAGGGGAAGTATTTAGAGGTTGAAGCGTTGCATTTAGGAAAAGTCCTTCAAATGTCTGGGGGTGTGGGGGGAAGCTCTTCATTAGGTCAGAAAGGTGCTTCGGGATGGGGAAGCTTCACTTTTAGCGATGGGAATAGTTTACAATGCTGGTTCTCAGGGGTGACAGATTACAAAACTGGGATCTGATGACAGCTCTCCGTTGGCCAAAATAGGTGGTGGGCTAACAAAGAACACACGTGTCTGAGATCAGAGCAGGCGCCCGTAATTTGATGGCCTGTGTACTACTAGGCTCTCAGATAACTCAGGGGGTATGCAAGTAGGACATGATGTAGTAGCTATCCTGCCTTCCCAGATTAATCCTCAGCTCCCAGGGGTGTAACTCACCCGTTAGTGTATTATCTTCCACACATGTATCAGTTTTCTTTTTAGAAAAATGCAATTGCAGCAGAGTTTCCATAGGAAGAAGAAACAAACTCACTTCTAAGCTCTCATTTTTATCTTCTTGAATTAATACTTTGTCCTCGCATAGATATATTTTCCCCTGCAAACTTCCCTACTTTTCTACATGTCCCTGTCTTGTACCTATCTGAACTCATTTAATGATGCCAAAATTTCCTCCCAGTTCTTCCTTTCCCATCTCACTTTTCCTCCAGCCTGCCAGTCTAACTCTACCATCACCACCAGCAAGGTGAAATTCTTTTTGTCTTAGGCTCCCATAGAAATTGAATGAGACAGGTGAAAAAAACGGAGTTGGTACTTTCTCTACCACACACACACACACGTGCACACAGACACACACACACACTTCAGAGTATGGTCCTGAACTTCTCCAGCCTTCCCAGTCTCAGTACCTTGCAGAAATGTTGGGTCTACAGTTTCCTAAATTACCAGCCAAAAGCCATGTTGACTGGGGACTTCTGGAAATTGTAATCTCAGCTTATCTTGAGGGCTTCCCAGGTTAGGGAAGGGTTAGGGTTATCAATTATGGACCCATGGACTACAGTTCTAAATAATACAAAGTCCAAATATCAAGGGAAGTAGAGGAAGAGATAAGTTGTAGGTCCTATCTTTAAGGTTGGGTGAAAGGTTGGCGTGATTCTGGAATTGAAGGCAGTGCCTTTCCAACTTACTTAGAAGTCTCTCAGAACTTCTCCAGTGGGAGGAAGATTAACCAGCACGTTTCCCAGGAGCTTAGTTTGCTTCATGCTGCCAGTCTTCCCTTGTGTGCAAATAGGGATGATGATGTTAAGGGCATGCTAAACTGCACACTCAATGCTATGCATTCCTGAATCTTTGGCTGTATGCAAGGGATCTCATAACCTCAAGCTTTTTGCTGGAGTGCTGAACAAGGAAAGGGTTCCTCCCTCCAAAAGACAGCCATTCTTGAAACTTAATTCCCATTAGACCCCTCCTGTCCCATCCCCCCCCCCATCCCTTTTCCATCTTTTCGCTAGGCAGAGCCTGAGAAAATCATCCCTTTTTGGAGTTAGAGTCCAAATAGTGTGAATAGTTTGTGAAATCTGAATCGTGGATCTGACCATGGGCCCATGGTAGAAATAGGCACCTAACCTTCATTCCGTTTGACCTTGGACTACCCCTGCTCCTTCTTGCCTACCGATAGTGCCGTGAGTTATTTTCAGTCATGAGCTACACACAAGCAGCACATTTTTGGGGTGCAGAAATAGACCTCTTGCATAATGCAATGTACAGTTACCTCACTGCCCTTGGTGATCTGCTATTCTGCACTGTATTCAGCAGGTGGTGCCATAGCTGTGTGTATGTATATGTATATATACACATATGTGTATGTGTGCATAGCAGATGGTGCTACTTCTCTGGGCTTTTTAAAGGGTTGAGATTATTGGTCATTAAAATCCTGGAGACATTTCTCATCCTCTTCTCTCAATCCCTCTGCGGTATGTAAGTTGCTTTTAGACTTGGTTGGTCCCCTGGAGCTGGACCACGGAGCAGGACAGTTTTGAATGTTCAGGGAGGATTTGGTCTTGCTGAATCCATGCTGCATCAAATCCTTCATTTCACTCCTCCACCTCCAATTAGTTGGTCCTTTGGTTCAATCAGGATTGGGGATTAGCCATTGCTAAGCAACCACAGTGTGCTGTCTTCCTCCCCTGGGGGGGGGGGAAACCCCTCCTGGTGACAGAATGGAAAATGATGGGCTAATTGGGGGACGCTGGGAAGGTTCTAGAAAAGAAGCTGGATCCAGCCCAGTGGAGAGAAGAAAAGTTTGGTTGGGGGGGGGGAAGAAAAGTGATGGTGTCTGCCCCACAGAGGGAGCCTAGAGCAAGGGGTGGAGATGAGGGGCCAAACCACCAGCGTCTTCAGAGACTGAACTCTATTCAGTTGCTTCCAAGTGTCTTTATAGTGTGTTAATAATGTGCTTGTATTTTAAGAAAACTTGTATTTTGCTGGGAAACAGTCACCAATGTAAAGGAACGGTCAGAAATCCAGGGCTGTTTTATGTAGAGTGAGATCATGTTTAGTTGTGTCTATTTTTTTTTAATCTATTACTGTACAAAGAGTGTAAACCAATATATTCAGTGAGACTTTTCCCTTTTCTTTGATCTCCCAGTATTATGATGTATAAAATGTTAAAGGGGTGAAGCAAAGGATGGTTGGGCCTGAAGACCTGTTTTCACAGTTGAGGTCTTTTGCAGTGTTAATTTAAGAAATATTCTCAAGATTGGCCATAGACCCCTCTTTCCTATAGACATATAATTGCCAGCTATGTTTCTGGCCTCCTTTTTTAGGGCAGAAGGCAAAGGAGGATATATTTTTCCTTTTCTATTTCCATCAACAGGCTGTATCCTGCTCTGTGTTTCTTGCATAGTTGCACTGTAGAAGAAAATGTAGGGTGATCAGAACATCACATTACATTTTAAGCCTTAAAACAGACATGAGGAGCAATTTCCTGGTTTTGATCAATGTGGAGAAAAATGTTGGCCCAGACTCTGGATTTTTGGCAGGGCAGTTTTGGTGCATAGCTCCACCTTTCTTATTTTCTGTTCACCTGGTGACCAGGTCATCATCCCTGACTCCAAATTCCAGGTGACAGCTAAAAATCTTGGGAAATTAGAAGCTGAACCAGTTATGGGAAATCATCTGTCTGCCAAGTTCAGTATTCTTAACTGAAGCGTATGGCTTGGTGATAAATATACATTATATTAATGAAGATCCTTATTATAGGATGGGCTGCTTTGTAGTCTTCGCTATAGACTTGCTGCACCAAGTGTTAGCTCTTAACTTCCCCGAGAGTCTTCGTGGAGGTGAGATATTTTAACCAGCTTCAACAGTTTGCCATGGCTTTATCTTGTTCTACACACACCCCAAAATGACAGGAAATCTTAAATTGTACATACTATGTGGGACAAAGAATACTTAGAGTACTTTTCCAAGCTGAGTCAGGCAGCATAAAGATTCTAAAATATTTGTACCCATTCTCTCAAATCTACACCATTCTCTTGTCCAGCATTTGAGATTTTCTGACTTGGGAGTATCGTGTCTCTAAATGGACACACCTTTTTTGCTCTTTAAGCCCATCTTGGACACATGCCACAAAGTAGAGTTTCCAGTATCCTTCACCTCTTCCCTTTCCCTGGGATTTTATGGCAAATAATCTTGAGAATGTTTCCATAATGGCACCATGGTAGGTTATGCCTCGGTAGAATGTTTGATTCTGGATTTCAGTTTACATGTGAAGCAGAACGTAGGCCTCCTTCCTATAGCAACGTTGCTGATGGAAAGGATCATGAGAATAACAGAAAGGGGAAGGCCTCTTCCCTAAAAAGCGAGGCCCAAGCATTTTTCTGATCCATTTAGTGATTGGATGGAAAGGAAGAGTAGATCTCAGGAGATATTATAGCATTTCATGTCCCTCCTTATGGGCACAGCGGTTGAGACTCCTGCGTTCCTCCATCCCGGCCTTTTCATCAGCA